TGAACCATACAAACATGGTTGGAGAATATGTAAGACACATAAAAAGAATATGACTACTGAACATATGCTGAATGAAAATTTGTTTGGGGAGCCAGGAAATTGGTAAGAAAAATTCTAGAAAATACAAAATTACATCTTAGATTCTGCATTACTCACTTAAATCTAGCATCCATGGTTGAGTTTGTTATATTCTAAATTCATTGAAAATATCATGTGTATGAAGTGTCTCAAATGGAATTCAAGCTTTAATTTAAATTAAAGTAACTTTGAGAGAATTGCCAATATGCTTAATATTTAAAACTATATTGAAGAGAAAGTTATCTTGTTTATGAAAAAATAATGTTATTTTTATAAACAATAAGTGCACAATTATACTCAAACTCGATTATAGTAAAAAATTTTGTAGTACTTAAAAATTGCTATTCATTAGGTATCACAAGTAATCCATAAATTTTATACACTGATTAATACGAAAACAATTACAAAACCAATGTTGCAATCTCTAACTTTCCAAGCTATTAAGCTTCAGAATCTTAATTTCAATCTTTTCACAGCATTGAGTAATTTCGGTATTATTTTAATTTATCCTGCTAGAAAAACATCAAACTAATGGCTCAGGCTAAGTTGTCAATTTTCCTTCAAGTTGAGCCAAAAATAATTGTTATGCAAATCTCCTAGGGTTTAGACTTGATGAAACTGATGAAAATATTAGATTTATGACATTAGCCTGAAATTACAGTTGAAATTTACCCATGTAATCAATCATAAATAATGTAGGGTATACCTCAATTATATAATCAATATAACATAATGATTTTTTATCAATGATCCTTAATTTAAACTAGCAATATTCAAAGGAGTCATTTAATCTTGATTTTTTTATTAGAAAAATTAAATTGATTCCCATATTGATATTAACGAAGTAAATTACTCTCAAAATCAAAATATAATAGAATAAGTCACAATAGCCACAGAAATTGAATCTATTTAGATCATATTTAATTGAAAATTCATTGATAAGGAAGTTTTAAGGTTAACAATATTTTGTCTTTGAAGAATGATTTTCTTCAACCTCTATCAAATATGATATTTAGAGAATTAAAACTCTAAGGCTGTAAGCAAAGATTTAATTCAACTAAATTTCAGAGCAGTATATTAAGATTACTAAAACTTCTACACTACTAGATGAATTTTTGTGTTTAACAACGAAACATTTGAATAAGTGCTATCAAAGTAGAAATACTATCATTTTTAAATTATTTAAAATTATTAAACATGTTAGAACTACTTAAAACTTTACAAAATTCATAACAACAATGCAATGATTAATCAGCAATATGAAATATAAAAAAATTATTTTTCATTCTTTTCTCTATTATTATTTTAATTTAGATTTTATGATGGTTGAAAAATTAAGAGGTGATATTCATTCAAATATAATTTAGAATAATAAAAGAGTAACTATTTTAAATAATTAAATGGGATATGATATTTGCTTTACGATACCAAATAGTTAAAGTGAGTAAATAATATTAAAGGATGATTCAAAATCTAATCTTATTAAGAATGAGGGTATCTTTAAGTGCAATTAATAGGAGTGGTAGATTTTATTATCCTTTTGAATCTTAAGATCATTTTATGGAACAATTATTGTAATTGCTAGTTGAAATAGTTTAGATTAATTCTTGGTGACGCATAGTTATTCTCAACTTTAACGAGAATAAAGTTTTAATAATAATTTTAAAACTATATTGTTGGTTGGCTTATAAGTATCAATAATCGAATTGGATAATTAGTTATTTGAAAGAATATATATTTCATTTTAGCTATAATTATAGCTACAGTTAATTTTAAATCAAGGTGAACCCTAGTTAAAATATTTAGCCTAATCATATTTTTATTTCAAAAAATTTCTTTAAATAATCTATTTTCTTCATTCCACTTCAGCCCATCATAAAGTCCTTTACCAGTATTTATATATGCCAATTTTTGGGATAATTTTGTATAGCTAATTCAACAGCTAACTCTTCTGGGTTCGTTTTAACTAAGCCTTATTTGTATATATCAAAATGGGTTATCCAACAAGTTCAAGCAACATTTTATGTAATTCAGACTTTGCCGAGTCCATTCTTTCATCATCAAACCAATCAATACCTTAAATTATTTTTCTTGACTGTTTTACAAATAATTTACCCAATTATTTCTAATTTATCTGCTCCTTCAATATCTCAAGAAATTATGTTAATCTTTTTATTTTTAAATTTTTTCTAAATTATATAGTATGGTTGGAGTTTAGTATTTCATTTTCCTAATTTTAATCTGTTTAATATATTAGTTTTTCCTGCAACATCCAGTCTTATCATAATTAATAAAGATCTTTAGGTAGATGAAGATTGTCAAAACGGGTTTCCCATTGCTGGCTTTATTTATTATTTTCTATTTATTTCTTCAAATCATTCATTTTCCTACAAAGATTTTTGAAATTAATTCTTCTAATTAATCATTCTGACGAAATTTGATTATTTTTAAATTAACTAATTAGAAAGCTCTTTAAAATAAAGAAGCTGAACATTTTTTTTAAATAATTTCAGTGGTGTAACATTTATGTGGAATAACAATTAAAGATTAGTTTTATAGACAGCTCCAATTTTTATTTTATATATTTTGTAAAAAATGAATTTGCTTATAAGTGCAATTATGATTAGAGCATTCTAATAATGTTAAACTATAATGCTTGAATGTAAGTTCTAAAAGCCGATTGATTATATGGAAGGCATAGAGTATCTATGGAATATATTTCAACATCAAAGCAATGGTTAGATTTCTTTATAATATTGGAAAAGTATGATATGATTAAAATGAACGCCAAGTGTATCATAAATTGATGCTTCGTTTAAGACCATTAAAAATAAATTATTCTAAAATTCTATTGAACTATTATATTAAGATATGGTTAAAAAGATAAAGAGAATTTAATAATGAGATGATATTACACCATTTATAAATAGAACTAGTTTTGAAAAAAATTTATCTCAACATCATCCAGCCCAAAAATTTGAATAAACAAAAGAAAAACGAAATGATTTCAGAAACCAAAGTCCAATTTAACTTAATTAGCAATATTTTGTGTTTATTTGATAATATTTCAAATGCCAAATTTGATTTCTTACAATTTTAAATCCTCTATCCAATACACTGTCTTCTATGTTTGCTAATTACATACATAGCCTAAAATATCATAAATAATTTAATTATCAAAGGTGCAATTATATACCCAACGTGTCTATTCATTATGAGAACACTATTTAATCATAGCAAATTCTTCATTTTATTCCATTTTAGATTTTATTAATAGATGAAATTTTATAGTTTTACAGTCAAATCTATGCATAAAAACAAAAGATATTTATTTATTAATATTTCTTTCTTTAAAAAACACTTAATTTATGTTTTAAAATGAAAATCTTAAGATGGCTAAAGTAATTTTTAAATAAAAATCATTAGTTTGTTACAGAATTTAAAAGGTTTTATTGAAGAATTTTATTGTTGCAGTGCATCTTGAGTTATTTAGAAAATCAGTAAATGTTACATTTTAACATTTTGCTCGCTATAATGTAGGGATTATCATTAATAGTAAAAAATAATAATAAGGGTAAAATTTATGAATAGATATCAATCCATTAATTGAAGATTATATCGAATACTTCATATACAAATGATCCAACATATCTCTATATTAAATTTCACTTTAATGCAGCATTCTTAACTTAATTAAGATAGGAGAATTTAGTTTTCCCCTATTGAACTATGATAACCTCAATGTGGCAAA